CATTTTGTTAAGTATATATTTCAAATAAAAATATATATTAATGCTCATTAATCATCTGTATAATCTAAAACATTACAATTTCCCTATAATTCACAAATACCATATCAGGACCATTTTATTTTTAATTCGAATTTAAATGTAATACATCAAAATTATACTTTTTATTTTTTATCGAAAAACTGAACCGAAAAATCTCAATCTAATAATTACAATATAATTATTTTAAAACCATTAATATAATTATACTCGTAGTTATTGAAAAATGAATAGAAAGTAGAAACTTATTTACGTTATTTCCTAGTTTTTATCTTTCGGCATTATGGACTTTTTAATGTTTAATAATATCATTAACAAAAATATCACCATAAAATGTTACTTATTGATATTTTAATAAATATAAAATATATAAAATTGGTACACAATTGTGATAGTATATATAGATTATTATTGCTAAATGTCATCAATAATAGTAATTCATAAATTCATCAATTATCGTTATATAATTGAACTTCCATTGACAATCAATTATATAATATGCTTGTATTAGTTGTATTCATAGTTTTATTTATTGCATTTTGTTAATGGTAATTTATATATTTTTATATACGTAGATAAAATTTATTTTCTTCTAAATTTCTCTAAAATCTACATTAATAAACAATATAAATAAATAAATTTATTAATATGTATAAAATAATTAGTTACTTATTAAACTTTTTGAATAATTTTAATATAATTATAATAATTTTAAGAATAAAATAGTTGATAATGATAATTCAGATTATTATCAGATACATACAACGTCATGTTCTGTTTTCCAGTACAAAACTAAACTAGAACTAGTTATAGCTTATAAGCTCACAAAGTTACGATAACCACAAACCATGATAGGTTAAAAACCTTTGTACTCGTTTTTTTTATATCGTTTGAACTACTGAAAATATAAAAGCTATTAATACGAAAACAATGGCTCATTACAAAAAAAAGTCTCATTACTCAATATATCTTAGTCGATTACAAACGTAAAACATAATTTAATCGTTAAATAAAAAAAAATTATGAAAATTAAGATATATAATCTAAAAAATAATAATATGTAAGTACTATACAGTATATACCAACGCTAAATGTAAATTTAGCTTACAGCAAGCACTTTAGTTCACAGTTTTATAATTTATAATATTCACAACAGAAATGTATTTATAAATCCTTGTAAAAGGTATTTTACTTTGTTCGATTGTTTCCCTTCTTTAAATTTTTTAAATATTTAATTTATACTAACTTTACGACTTGATAAATGTTATAATTTTGATTCTTCTTATTTATTCTTAAATTTACTTAAGTCTAGTATCTCTTTTCAAATGCCTATCTAAATTAACATTTAATACAAATTATAAATTCAAATTTATATTTATTTTCTCTCTCCTTGATATCAAAGAGTGTTCATCATAAAAGCTCATAAAATAATGAAAATATAAAAACTAACTTTCTTGTACACGTTTTGAAAGAAGTAATAAATATGATAGTAAAACGTTAAAAATACTTTTTAAGTTATTATTAGTAGTAGGTAGTTCAAAATAAAATATGCAATTAAGATACAATCAATTTGTATGAATAATGTAAAAACATCTTTATAACTATGTAATTTTTTAAGTTCAGAAAACATGTATTAAACAAAAAATAAATTCACAAAGCTATAGACCGGCTTTTAATCATACCAAAATAATGAAACAGAAATTTATATTAAATGATTCTTTTAACAACCAACATTCATTTTCTTAAAATACATAAACAATTTATTTTAAATATATTTTTTTTTTTGAAAATTTAAATTTCATTACACAACAATATTTGTATTGTTTTTGTGTCTTCATCATTTTTTTTCATACTTAGAATGACAACTTACATTTTGAATTTCATATCCTAAAGTGGAACATTTTTCTGAGAATTATTTTTAATTATAAAAAACAAAATTCTCAGCAAGTAGTTAATTAGTCATAAAGTATTTAACGTTTTGACGATCAAAATTGAGTGCTACAAGAATTCCCTTCAAAATTTTGATGTACTAAACATTAATAACATTGTATTATAAACTATTATATTTAGTTCAACTAATATTATCAGAATATGAAATTGAAAACTTAAAGTTTCAATCTAAAACGGTAAAAACTTAAAAAAATATATAGCGATTTAAGGTAGTAAAGAGCAGTAAAAAATGTAAATACTTTTTGACACGTCTAATGAATAATGACTGCTCACTTTTAAAGGAATCACCCAGTAAATATATGCATTTTATACAGTTTATTGTTTATATGTCCAGCATAAATGTTTAATGTATTTCCATTTAAGAGATTAAATGTAAAAAAACAAAATAAATGAGCCAATTTTTTCATTTATTTACTATGTATTAATGTACTGACCCGTAGGCCGTAACATAGTCGGTAAATTAGATTTACACATGACGTCGGACATAAATAACACGACAGAACAAAGCAGTAATTAGTACATGAGAAAAGTAAAGAAGACAATAAATAAATTTACAATTACGCGTGCCTATATAATATTATCCGAACTCGAAACGACTAAATCAATATTATGCGCGTCGATTACATACTCAAATATTGGTCACAGTAGGTAATTAAAAGGGTACACGCTATTTTAATGACTACTAACGTGTCAACATAATTAATGGATACAATCACAATGAAACATATTCGTAAGGTTTCAGTTCAAAACTGACGATGAAAATATATTGATATATATTATTACATATTGACATTATTGCGGACAGAACTTTCAGCATTTGCGTGTTTATCTTAAACAATATTATACTAGTAAAATATTATTCTTAATATTAACACAAAACAAATAAAGAAAGTGTTTTTTTTAACATACCAAATTTTCAAAATTAAGATACTAACATAATCATTTGCAATAAAGCAAAATAATATTCTCAGATCACGTAAATATTATAATACATAAAATATAATTTCTTCAGTTATTATATATTTTTAGTTGTTATAACTAAAAATCATTATACGTCCCTCTAGCTATCGTGCCTTGCTTTCGTCCAGTATAGAAATTTCGACATAATATTATATCGTTATTTTTAAGTATTTTTATAATTAACTTAATAAGAACCTACGAAAAAAGGTGTGTGGTATTATATATCATGATACTATATTAATCGTAGACGTGATATGTAAAATATATTTTTTTATCGTAACTTATTAAAAATCATAGATTTTAAAGGAAAACGACTCAAAATGTAGGGTGGTATAGTAGATAAGTCAATGATAATGATTCTATTTTATAGGCAACCTTTTTTACTTAAATAATTTATAAGATTATCTTATAATGAGTTTTTTTGATTAATTCAGCTAAGGTTGTTACTATAAGGACAATACCTAATAATCAGTAATAATAGGTTTAGGTATAATATGTGTGAAGACAAATTTAAAAATATTAGTAGTTTGATAGAATAAACAAAGAATAACCATTCTATATGTTTTGAATTCTGTGTAAACCCATAACTGAGATCTATAACAAATATAAATATATCAATGTGAAAAAGGATGGTTATATAAATATTTTTTACACTTTTTAAATGGTAAAAAAATTACAAGTATCTGAAAATATGGTAAATAAGTATACTTAAATATTTCGAAAAACAGAGTTCAAATAATTATATATCAAATTATAAAAGGAGGGCACATACTCATATGCATTCTAAGCAAATAACGGTACGTATGTATTTATAGGATGGGCCATTGTATTCTCCTGACTCCCGTTGTAAACTTAACATGACGATACAAAGTGTATAATGTGCAATATTTTCCATTATTTAATACACCTATATATTATACAAAAAATATACGTTTTGTACAATTCTAAAACTCTGAAACTTTGTATCCTAATCCTATTGATTATTATGTTTAAAAATGTTTAAGTATGTTCTTTTAATTTATAATATTGTATTACTTATAGCTATATTTTAAAACAATTATAGTAAATAAATAAATATAAACTTACAGACATTCAACATTTTATAAGACACTTTACTAATTGGGATACTTCACAGTTACGGTATATTTTATTAAACAGTTCATAAATTAAATTAAATTATTTTCAAAACTAATCACGCATACTGCCGTAAATTCACTTTTATAAAAATTATTTTAAAAAAATCCGAAAAAAACCGTGAATTATTTATTTATTACGCAGTTTAATCGATTTGGTGAATCGAACATTTTTATTACCATTTATCATACTAGTATACGGCATATGTGTAAGGTAGCGATTGTTTGTATATTAAAATAAAAACGATTTCACAGAGATAAAAATTTATTTACTTAAAACCAAACCAAATAGCTATAATTACGTTTTTCTCCAGGTACCTAGTATACACTATAATATATACATATTAGTTAATTACCCACTTCCCAAAAACAAAGAAACGTTGATTTTAAACGTGTGGATCGCCCAGCACGTCTTCCGTGAGCACGTGACATAATTTTTTAAACCAATCATAAATACATGAAACCAAAACGTGAGCTCCTTATTTCCGTGAAATTTTGAATAAAAGTAAATTTAATTTTTTTTTTTTTTTCTGTAAAATAAATACAAAATTTAAATTAGAGATAAGATATTGAAAGTATAGAGATGACTGGATGTTAGAGCTATCGTAATGCTCCGCTAACATTGGCCCAATTTAGTTTTATACATTGTACTTAGAAATATGAAGACTAATATGTTTAAAAAAAACAGTTATTCGGTTTTATGTAATGTATGGCATTTTCAATATGAAATAATAATAAAATAATAATTACTATGTTTAAATAATGTATGACCCACAATGGAGCGTATGAAACTTTCGAAGCAGATAATCTAACCATAAATATGTTTATATACAATTTTATTTTTTATTTTTTAATTAATGTTTAAATACGTCATCATTGTAAAACCATGAATATTTAAATAAATGCATATTCTTGTTTCAGGAACGAGTATCCCTAATCGTACCTTGGATTGTCGGTCTCATAACTTTTATGGCACTCGAAGCGGTCGCCATTGTTTACTCGAACGTACTCAGAGACCATGTAAATAAGGTTAGTTATGAACATAAATATGTTTATATACATAAATACAATACAATAATATCATGATATCAAAATAAATATCTTATGAATTATTCGAATTCTGCACCGAATATATAGAATTATTAATCAAACATTAAATCATTTATTGTTTCTAGAAATTCGACTCGCTCTGCAAAATTGAAGTGACGTTTTACTTGATACGGGCAGTACTAAATGTAAGTAAGCGCATTATATATTTGTGAAGTTTTAATTTACATAAAATCAATTATTTCATTCTTTCATAAAATAAATATTTATGGCCATTTACATCACTACTCTTTGTTATTATGCATCTGTAATAAAATGACGTAAAAAGGCATTTATTTCATCTCATGAATATAATATAACAATTTTTTTTTTTTAATCTGTTCACTAAGAAACAATAAGAAATATATGATAACAGAATTTATTTTTTACATGGGTAGTATGATAGAGTAGTGATGGGTCACCCAGTGATAACACTAACTTAACTTTTTATTTTCTATTTTCTTGTTAATTTACATTTTTAGTCATTAATCATTCAGTAATTCATGACACCAGTTATATTTTAGCCCACTTAGGGGATTCAGAGAAATTTTGAGAGTGGCAAGGTTAGATATTAGGAGTAAATATGACAAATAAGAAACATTTCTGAGCTATAATAATATGCATAGAGTGAATTTACTATAATTTTGCTATTATTGTAGTATTTAAATAACAAAAATAAAATATTAATGTCTGGTTTAATAATTATGAAACAAAATTAGTTGTAGTTTAAAATACAAAAACGATTTATATGTTAGGGAAATATGTATTAATTGTTATTATTTCTGTACCAAAAAAAAATACGAAAAAAAATTGCTGCAAAAATGAAAGAAAAACAAATTTATGTTTATATTCAAAAATAATACATACGTTAAATATTCCTTAGTAATATTCTTGGAAAACTATTTATGAATAAAAAAGAAGTACTAAAACTCATGAATTTTATTAATATGATTTTTCTCCGAAATTCACCACCGCTACAATAATTGTCATTTCACATTTGGCTTTATCTCAAATACAATAGTACTTTGCAATAAATGTATTTTTTATTGCTTTAAACAAGAATGTTCACACATAACGCAAAATAATGATTCCCTCAAAGTAGTAATTTATAGGAACCCGGACACTGTTTATGATAGTTCGTATATGAATAAAACTACATTTTTTTTCTCGAAAAACCGCCAAATTACCTTCATAACCCAGCAATGGTAATAAATTTCTGTTCACTATTCCAACGTGCTATATCTATCACTTTACAGTAAACCTACACAAAAATGAATAATAAAAAAAAAATGTATATCTGACTATTATTGATTGAACTCAATAAGTTTTCTATTAATTTTTAAATGGTTTGTGAAGAGTAGTAAAAGAGGATAGTTGAACGGATATTTCATTAGACTTTGACAGTTTTTTTTTTTTTTTTTTTAATCAAAATCGTAAATTTAATCTTATACAGTAGTATTCATTAATACTTGATTTATAATTTATTACTACAAACAATATTTTCAAATAAATTATTTCAGAATGTTAAAAATGTGCTCATCATATTCCTATAATAGATTCGTGAAAATTAATTTGTTCGTCAAGTACATTATAATATACGCTATTAATATTAACTCTTAGTTTATCTTATGAAATCGATTTTTATTTAAGCTATGAAAATGTACTGTACGTGGATTATTATACATCATACAGTAAAATATTACAATGAGAGAGGTGTAGGCCGATCATCTCAGGCAATGCTTTTATAAAAGTGACGCATTTTGTATGCGCGTAATTATTAATTAACTCTCATTATGTATGATCTGAGTTTATTTTCTAATAATATAAGAAATTAATTTTTATAACACTGAAAATTGATTTATTTATGCTAAATTATTTGCTACTTTTATAAATTATGCATTGATTGTTATTACTTTGTTATTCCCCCCCCTTTAATTATATATTATGTATAAAATTAATTTTCCCATAACAAGTTGTTATTATAAAATAAACACTATTATTCTTAGTAATAAAAATTATAAGTTATTAGAAAACAAATTTAAATTTCGAAGAACGTTTTTGATGTATTGAGTGTCTTTTGATGAAAAAACGTTATGAAACACTCGATACATTGGCTTGGCTGGTTACATACTTCCCATAACTTACTGTGTAGGGATACAAGTTACAAGATACGCTTTCATCTAAAATACGTATTAACCCTGTTTAAAATAAGTATGATTTTATCGAAAAATATAGCTTTAGATCGGAAAATTACGTGTTTGGAAAAATAAAAAGTGGAAACTATGGTGAATGTAAGAAACATTGAATGTTTTATTGTCAAGTTTCATTTTAAATTCTCCACAAGCCTATTACTTAATGAAGACAAATTTAAACGTAGACAAATAATATTAATGCAATGCAATCACCAATGCCACAATCACCGCCAACACGGCAAAAAATAATAACAATTTGTGAATGCGCCCGCATATGTTTTGCATACATGCATACATCGGATAGTTCCAAAAGAAAAGTAGGTATATGAAATAAAAATAAATGTTGGGTTTTCTGTTTCCATGACAGTTAAGAAATAGGGATAATTCTCAAAAGAAAATTTTGTATTCTTCACGAGAACGATAAATAACCTTGGTCCAAATCTCTTGGGCTACGGAGAAAAATATCCATTTTTCAAAACAATAGATTCATCCCCGTGTAGTTATGCGCGTAATCATACAGTCATACATTACCCACAGCATTAGCTAACGTGTTGTGTTGTTCGTTGTAATTCGCGCCACTGCCATTAACTTACCTATAAGCATATTTCATCAACCACCGTTTCAAAACAATAGGTAACTCGAAAAATGAATATATTTTCATTCGATTTATCGGTTTTTCGTCGCTAAAAAAAAAATCTGCACACAAAACACGTTAAAATAATAATATTTAAACTTATTGAGACGGAGTGGCACCAAACAAAGCGTAAATATAATATGTATTATATAAATTCATAAGTGGCGTAGCGTGCACAGCATAGGTACACTTCAAAATTGAAAAATGATTTTTTTGTTTATCATTACATTACATAGTATTTTATAATATTATATCATATTTAATATTATGTATTATCTTCATAGTTCGTGAAGTTTGATCAATCCGTGACACCACGGCCATGCCACGCGATACGTAATGACATTACATTAAGAGTAGATATGACTATATTTTAGTAGTCCCCAACGCACTATAATAATATCATATAACGTTATTTTATAGTACTTACCTTTTTTATTATGTGCGCAGTATGCACGTTAGCGGTCGTATACGTACAGTGACATTAATAATTTATATATTTTGCTACCAATATTATCGATAACAAAACATAGAACGCTCATAGACATCGCGGTCGTGTACTCGTCACGTGTATGCATGATCAGTATTGTATACACTATCGATTCACACATTACTACACTGCGTTTTTTAAATTTATAACAGTTATTATAACCATTTAGACATGTATGTTATTTTTTTATTGAGATATTTTGTTGTAAAATTATGATTAAGTGATCGAAAGTTTCCCTAAACGTTTTGACGAATTCGGCAAATTATTTTACGAGTCTTACTAATTTATTATAAAGCGATTTATTTTTGTGTAGGTATTATATCATAATGACTATTTTTTTTTTTTTTTTTTTTTTTTTTTGATAATATTCTAAAAAATATTACTAGGCCTCACTGAGCGAGTACTCGTGTGGAGGCCTAAGAGTTATATTGTTTACAAATGTTTAATTTTTAAACAAATATTACAGAACTATATGATTATTAAAATTTTAAACATGAAAAACTTGCGAGTGCTTAAAATTTTATTTTTTAAAACTGAATGGGGATAACCTAACCGAGGCGAAGACCTCCACAAATGCATTGACTTATAATTTTAAATGCATATACTAAGTTGATACCCACGCTACACCACTAATATGCTCTCCATTATAATGCTTTAATATCAGGGCTTTTTGTTAATGGCTTAAAGTTTATACATTCAGTTATATACTCGTAATTCCTCTAGAGAAACTCTGTAGAGTCAGTGGCCGTAGTGTTAGAGGTAAACTAGAATTCGAATGGGAATTCATATTCTATCTACACACAACCTCCTGAATTCCCTATTGGTTGATTTTCTTCGTAAAATTTCTACACATACTATGTAAAATTATTCAATGCAATAGTCATTATAATAACTACAGTATTTCTTTTTTTTTTAATTAAAAAAAAAACTTAGTATTTGAGACCTATTTTTATGATTTAATGTTTTTCCATTTATCGCGTAATACGAAATCTGTTAACAAAATACTATTTATCTATTTATTTATATATGTTTGATTGCTTTTACAACAGTAACACGAAATATTAAACGCGAAATCCTTAAGAGTACCTATAATCGATATAATCGAATTACGATCAGTCCATATAACTCAAACTATAACTAATCAATATATCAACTTTGTTAATATTAGGTTTCCATGGCAACTCGGTTGGAAAAAAATATGCTATCTATAAAAAATGACCGATTTGTATTCGAACTATTTTAATTATTAATAAATAATAATACATACAGTAGAGCCTCAATTATCCGAACCTCCGTTATACAAACCCTCTATTATCCAATCTACAATTAGCGTATCCGAACGTTATTGAAGCACTCGAATCGATAATTTTTTTCAAAAAAAATGTAATAAACATAATATGTTCCTAAGTATATAATGTATTTCTAATAATGTAATGTATATAATTCCAATAAAATATTAATAATAATTAAAATAAATATGTAATGTAAAATATTTAACTGTGTTGTAAAGATTTGTTCATTGTGTTTTTTTTAAATTTCCAATATTCGAACTTTTACATATCCGAACTAGGTGTGGTCCTAATTGTTCAGATAATCGAGATTCTACTGCACCTGTACAAAAAATTAAATTTAAGTGCAATTTTACTATTCAACCAACATATTTAATAATAATCAAACTTTTAAGTCTCCTATCGTTGATTGATGATATTCACCTATAAAACGCTCGGAAATACAGATTTCAAAATAATCAAGAAAGAAACGTTCATATAAACGAAATGTCAGCACGGCGGGGGCAATTTTTGAAAAATAATTCGAGTGATAGAGCCACCCTACTAAGGCCACATAGTATATAATAGATAATATTCTGAACTAAAGAAAATGTGTAGGATTTTAAATTTATCACCCTTAGCAGCACGCGTAAGTGTTCAAGTTGTCGAGAGTGAGTGTAAAGGCTCACGCGTTCGTATTATAATATTGTATTGTTGTGTCTCCGTTAATTTATTGCATGTCGACGGCGTACATTGTAATTATAAACAATCTGGGCGCTTATGCCAAAAGCGTTCTGTAAAAAAATACACCGAGATGAAATCATTAGTAGAAACAATATGGGGATGAAATGAACGGCTAAGATGTTTTGTGTTTCATGTGTGTACAAACGAAGCACGTTCCTAATGAACGGCGAGGTTTTCCGAGGAAGAAATATTCGGTGCACTAATCGACGGTGAATAGCGCGAGAATTGCGACGCATTATATTTTTGAGTATACGCGGAAATCGCGCGAGTAACAATAAAGATGCAAATATTATGTTATACGGTAGTCGATTAAAATGCGTCAGATTTAACTTGCAGAGTTAAACGGCAGTTCCGACAAACATCATGTCTATATCAGACTCAGCTATTAATCAAACCGGCTAAATTTCTGATCACCGTAAGAGGTGCATGCACCGCAACAGTAGCGTGTACCTACTAAGGGGGTGTTTGGAGTATATTATGACTTCCCCCTTTAGTACGCGTCATATATATATATATATATATATATATTTATAATAAGTATAAATATATTACTATTACTTATGTTATTTATTTTACACAATATATAGTAGGTATATTAAATATAAATGTCTCGATTGACTGATTGTTTTTATTAGATCATTTTTTTTTTCATATATATTTATAACATTGACTATATTTTATTTCATATATGCTCGTAGTAATATAATTTAATTTTGACGACACACCCTTTAATAAAATGATAAATGCGCCACTGATTCGCAGCACGTGCATATCTGTGCATCATTTATACATATTATAATTATTATGATACGACGATACGTTATGTATAATATAACTAGTAACTACCGTTCATCATCGGATTTTAAAATAATTTAATATCTTTTATTAGTACTTGTGTGTTGCTCACACATAAACACACACATGTTAAGTTTTACCGTGTATCCGTGTAATAAATATCCGTGTTAAAAAAAAAAAAAAAAATTAGTATTTTTCGGCGGATAAGCCAAACAGAAGTTAAACTGCAACGTGAAAGCCATCATTACCATCAGTATGGTTTTTCAATTAATTGTTTCTCTTCTTTTTCTTTATTATCCCAATTTTCTTTTTTTTGTGTAGGCTATATTTACTTTATTATTCTATACTTTATATTCATGTATAATAATATTATAGTATTGGCTCATTAGTTAATGATAATAGACTTTTCGTTGACTTGTGTGCACAATTATAGCGGTATTTAGCCATAATTTAGTTGTTACAATTCATGGAATTGTTTTTCTAAACGAACTTGTACGTACAAGGAAAATTTCACTAGCATCTCTTGGCCTACATTGAATAACGTAAACAGTGCGCATTAATCCCACTCGGTAAAACAATAACAAACTTTTACTATAGAAAAAGAAAAAAAGTATATGTACGTCGTTAATTAAATACTTCTCGTCGTAAGACACAGGAGGCTGTGTTTTCAAAATCGCAAGTGAGGTAGGAAAAGTATAAAGGATTTTGTGGATTATTTTAAGTTCTACGAAATCGTTTGTTTTGTTTTTTTTTTTCATTATTTTTCTTCTTATAATTAGACAAGTTTTTATTGTACCTTGAAGTGTATTTTTGCGTACGACATTTTATTCTTCGTGTAGATGCCTATACAAAACGAGGATGCTAAAAGTTATCAGTAATACCTCATTGTTTATTTTTTTTCATATACATTTTGTCCAATAATTTAGACATAAATAAATGGAAGCTGTATTTTAATTACGCAACAACAGAGTAGACTTTATAATTTATTGTCATATTGTACATAAATTATGTTAAAACGTGAACTAAGTAAAATATTGAACAAAAAATACCAAAAATACACACTTGGCTTTCATATCAATAAAAATGTTCTACTTAAATTTGATAAATATACCTTTACAGAAGAACATCATTTTTGTTGAATACCAAAAGAATGATTCTCGAAATAACTCAAACGTCAGTAAAATAGTTTTCACTATAAGCAAAAGTACATACATATATTTAGAATTTAACGCCAAAAAATAAAGACCATCTTAAAAATATATTTTTGTTTTTTATAACTCAAAAGTGCAAAACAATAATACTCAGATTAATAACAAAAACTAAGTATAATTGTGTGCACATAATAATGAATACAATAATTCCATTAACAATCTTACTTAATTTATTATCTGTTACGAAACAGTTGTTATATTTAATATTATTTAAAGTGTTTTATGGTGTAATAATTTTAAATTTTAATATAAAATAAACGTACACGCAAATATTATACGCATAAAAAAAGAGTATATTTAAGTTACCCAAAAATCAAGTGAAACCTTATTTGTATAACGTGAATTAAAAATTGTACAGTACAGACATATTTTAGTTAAGGTTCTCTTCTGATACTGCATAAATATGCTACTTTCAAAAAATATAATAATACGCCTTGAAACTCGAAACATTTAAGTTTTTTTTACTCAAATCGAATTCATTATTTAAAAAATCAAATGATATAACTTTTTTCATTTCCTGTACAAATATTATATACACGGTACTTCATTAATAGATCTACGATGTCTATACAACCTACACACCAAAGTTATTTTACATATTCAATTAAAACTAAATTAAAACTTAAACTTTTAAATATTGGCCATAACAAGATGCATAGTCTACACATTATTATACAATGTATCCAACATACTCAAAGGTCGATATGATAATTGTTGGCCTATGCATATTATATAGATAATTTATGTGTTTATATATGTGAGTGTGCGAATAAACTAGACCATATACATATACCAGCTCCAATAAATTACGAGCTTTATAAATCAAGCTGGATAAAAGATTAATGCTGAAACTCTATTTTATACGTTGCTCTACATTGATACGGTCAATTGTGTCAGCATTTCCATTCATTTTAGAGGCATTAAAGATATCATACGTATACCTTCATGTATAGTATCCTAAAAAGCTTAGCCACCAAAGCCAAAATCGGACTAACACCAGTACAGAATAGGTAGCAATAGATTTTATTTGATTTTGTGGATAACTTAAGTATTGTGTTCTTATTCTTATTATGCATATAATATTTGTGTTCAAATTTATTTAAGATTTATAGAATGAAATTCTGCCGTAAAGCACTTTAGATGATAATTAAATTATTTTACAATCATTTCGCAATAGATAATAAATTAATCAGATCGTTAATAGTCTAAAAGTCTACATTATAATATGTTTTTCGTATCTTAATTCTTGTGTTTTTAAGTTTTGGTAATGATCATACAATTTGCTAAAAATATAAAAGAATTAAAAACTAATTACATTTTTTTAAAACCCTCATTGCTCATTTTACTTATCAAAAACTTTGAATTTTTTTTTAACAACATTTCTGGTCGATGCAATAAATCAACTTGACTTCTTCGCTTTAATTTGCGTGTCAACAAAAAGTTCCATGGTATGGATGACTCGTTTTAATAAACACGTAGTAAAATCCTTTAATCAGAGCCTTTGTTATGATGGGAGATTTATGTTGGTAAATTTTGCTCGCTGATACACACATACTCATACCCTGTGCATACACATAACACGCCCTTTCACCTCCAAGGTTCGATTTAATATGCCCGGTCATGAACAACGCAAAATAAAATATTATCAACGGTTCGACAAAAATATGCTTAATACAATATTGACAGCTAGAGATAAAATATTATTCGTTTTACATTTTCATGAATTTGGAATTACCCACAAAATGACAATAATAAAATAAAATAATTTCAAAAATAAAAAAATAAAAAAATGAAAACCACTGATCGAATGATCGACCAATAATAATTTAATACAAAAAAATCACAAGAGAATTTATAGTTCATTTAATATACTCCATAACATTGGAAACACATTTAAGTGAAATTTACCCTAAAGCCATAAATAACATAAATAAATAGGCAGAGTCAAAACCACCATAAAAACTCGCTGACACCTGATATTCGATTTAAGCTCTTTTTTTAAAAAATAATTGACGTACACTTATTGTTCTAGGTGGTGTCACTAACCACTGACGAAACTATATAATAAATTGATGTTCTATCGTTTTTAAAAATGTTCAAAAAAATGTATCGTCTCTATACGCTGGTAGGTATTAGCCAATAAAAGTTTCACTGACTGTATATTTTTATCAAACTAATGATGACAATTCAATGTTAATAATCGAAAATTAGTAAAATATTTACGAAGAATATAAATCATTAAAAATTGGTCTAAATTTAATTTATCACGTCGATTAGCCGGAATGTGTATTGCCCTATTGATGAATTTCCAAAATAATTGGCTGAAAATTAATACCAAATCATACATATTTTATTTAATAAAGACCAAACGGTACCAATAATCTATAATAATATTGAACATTGCATTAAATTGCTGTACGAGAATAACGTTATAATGTTATAAATTTATTATACTCCGAATAATACAGATAAATATTTTTGGTTGATATTTTTATTTTTATTCAACACAAAAAAACTATGCGTGAAATCGTATTAATTATACGTTAAGTCCAGTTCAACGATTAATTGTTTTTGTTTAAATATTAGTTTTCAATTGAAATACATACATATTATATATATATATATATATATACCTACATAAATATTTATTTTAATTTAATTTTTTTTTTTTTTTTTTTGATCAGGTGTTGAGTCTATTAAGCGTGATAAAATTCTACAATATGGTGCGATTGGGAGTAACATGGAAAGGTCCAGAGACCATTGAACTGTGATGTAAAATTTCGGGACCCGGACGTTATCCCGGTTCCATATCTTCGATAGAAGACACTGACACAACTTTATCCTCAAGCATGGATGATTTCTTATAATGAATACTAATAACTACTATAAAATAAATGTTGCATATTTGTTGTGGTTAAAAATAATTTTTAAAAAATCCGTAATAATAAATAAATAAAAATAAAGTTTATTTTTACGTTGTGTTTAATATTTTGTTTTATATGTAAAAATTTTAATCTTACAGATACAACAATGACCAACAATTTATATCATAAAATATTTTTGCTTGTGAGTAATTGAAAATACTAAGGTAACATTTCCCCTCAGTCATACTTTATGAAAACTATGTTTTAAAAATGCATAGTTATATATTATACCATAAGATAAAATAAATCTGGAAAATTCGTTATAATTATGTGAATATTATCATATGAGTTTTTTTATTTAAATTTAATTTTGATAAAATTACTTTAATCATACTCATTAACATTATAGATTGGTTGAATTATCTAATAATTATAAACTAATTAAATAGATAAAATAAATAAATAATGAATTAACGAAATATGACTAAAAGAAAAAAAACTGTAAAATAAATAACTACATATAAAACTTGTTATAGGTACTTGTTACAATATATTATAATGTACCTACACAATAAAGTATACCATTACGATAAATAATGGCCCCCGTGAGGAGAAAAATATTTGGATTGCTCACAAATATTTTTCTAAATTTATTCTCTAGTATTTTTTTCCTTTCCTGGCATTTCCTCAACTTCTTTATCCTGTACACCAAACCTATCAGCCCGCCTTTCAGTCTCCTTGCGTTTATTTTTTTTGTACTCGAACATTTCAGCCATTAGTAAATATCTTAAATTAGATATTTTTTTGGCCGATCTAATCCTATTTATCTTGAAGATTTGAACGCACTCTCTTAACAAAATATTTTTATCGTTGAAAGATAAGTCATTATAATCCATTGTTGGACTATTTCTTCGATATTCTATATTATATATATTTTTTTAAATTCTATACCCGACTGAACTTTAAGTTCAAAACTTTTCACTAATCCGAGTGTGTACAAACGAAACATCATGGTATAGAGTTTGAAACGTACAGTTATTGTATTTTCTTCATCTATCGATAATCAGTTGTATAAAATAAACGACTTCAAAAAAATATGTTTACATGAGCCGCGTAAATAGACCGCAACGCACAATAATCAATTTATCATCATCGTTCACTGTCACGAAAATAATCCTTAAAGAGAATTGAAAAACCCATTAAATTGGCAATTTTCATCAATAAAATTCCCATTTCGACCTGGTGGTGAACGGGAACAAAAGATGAAATTGGTTAAGTATGAAGAACAATACAAGTCCCCAAAAGATCTATTACGCGCGTTAATGATTAATGGCGTTTTTATTTTCTAAATAATTACAATTATTACACACGTCCACCTCGCCTACGCCTACGCTCAGTTTCTTTATTGCAATTATTCAATGTATAGATACAATAACACCCATGACATTTCGCACGAGCCTATATATATCGGCCAAAAGACAACGACTCAATCATCGATGGTTCGAGTCACCAAGAAACAACGCTCTGTATTACAATTAAACATTTAAACTAAATTAACACTTCGCTGATTAGAATATTAAAAACCACACAGCACACCGTTCTCGCTACAGCAGATCATCAATTTATTCTATGCATCAGCTATAGCCGTAGAGAACTATTAGAAAAAGTTTAGTTTATTTGTTAATGGAGAAAAGGTTATTTTTTACTTTTTGAAAATAAGATATTGAAAATTATAATTATTATTTTAAACGTAGTATACTACATTTAACCAAAAACATACAAACAATACACTTACTGTAATTTTTTTCTTAAAATATAGAAATATAGGTATAACAAAAAATAAAATTTTGACAAAATAAAATTTATAATAATTAATTATAATAAAAAAAAAAATTATTATTATTTCGACCGAAAAATCAATAGTTCGTTTGAACGACTATTATTTATACCAGAATTTATCCAATCGTTTGTGAAGACTGGTGAGTAAAAATTATTGTGGGTCACATAAATTTTAATAATAATAATATATTTTGTTTATAATTTTACCAAAACAAAAAGTTAGTAGAAATATTTTTACGAGTTATTATATTTTATTTATAATTATGAGGAAAAAATAAATTTATTTATAATTAAAAGAAAACAATAATTTAAAAAAATAATATGACTAATGTGAAATTTGTAATTGCTTTTTTTATCAAAATTATAAATTAATATCCGGATAGATAAAAGTTGAAGCAAACAACTTTCAATATGCTTGTCTGATATAGAAGACCGATTCTTACTCTTCTTACTCTTTGTATTTTTCATTCTTGAAAACAATTGTTCATAAATATAGGTAGCACCGAAAAACGAGGACATGAATAATGCGTGATCGTAAAGAACTGAATATGTTCCTTTGGGCAAATATAATTTATAAAATTAAATAAAGATAACTGAATAGATTTATCTTTGAGTCGAATACCTGATTTTAACTCAATACATTCCATTTAAAATTTAGTTTCCACAGCAGTAATATCAACTATGAATGATGTTTCGAAAATTGCAAAGAGTTGACTAAATCTTGAAAACTGTTTTCAAATTTATTAATTAAAATTAAAACCAAAGAAGCATATTTCTCGCTTTTCTTGAGATTGTGTTTAGCCAACACAAGGAAACGTATAAAACTATTCGCCTTAACTTGACTTTTCCATTATTTAAGTTTCAATTCAATAGTAGTTATTGTTTGAAACATATTACAAATGAGATGATTTTTTACCTTGAATACTTACGTGTAACTCATTTAAATTAGCAGTTGTGTCAACTAAAATCGCTAAATCCATAAGCTAGTTTTCATTTTCAAACTCTATGATAGATTTTTCTTTTGACTCCGTGAACGGCTTTGTTTAATTTTGAAAATCATAAAATCTGTTGAGAATTTTACCTCGACTTAGCCACCTTATTTCTGAAAATTAAATAACGTCTCCAGAATCTGCTTCCGTGAGTTTAAGATAGTCCGCTTACAGTCTTATAAGACAGACTATTTTTTTAAAAGTCTGTTTATTTATCGGGACACATTATATCTTCAATATTTTCCAAACACTCCTCAATAAACTCGCCATCAAAAATGGTTTTGATTTTTTCGTAATCAAAAATGACAGTACATAACTGAAAAAATGACTGAATGGGACTCAGAAGTAGCTTTTTTAATATTAAGTTGCTAAAAAGAAAGATATATTTCAATTCTAAGAATTATTGCTTCCGAAAAAATTCTGTCAATTTCGACTACATGTTTTTGTAAATAATGTCTTATTAAATTATAATCTTTAAAAACTAAAATGGTTTCCTTAAAAATTATGCAGAATGCTCTATTTTAAATTTTTATAAAAAAGTATTCGACTTTTTTCCTTCATCTATTACTTTTCTTATCTCATATTGGAATAATATTTCGCTATTTAATTATTGATAAATTAAATTTGAAAAAAGTTGCACAATAATATTGAACATCACTAAGAACAAAACTTTAACTAGACAACCATCTGATAATGCGTCGGACTGTTTGTCTGTACTAGGTAGATTAACTGTCCTTAATAATAATAATAATTATAATTATTATTATTATTATTATTATTATTATTATTTTTGTTAATTAATAACATGGGATAAATTTCGTGAATAAATCTCCAATAATTAAATAAAATTATATTCTAACAAAAACGGCTCATTTTGCAGTAGCTACAATGTATCGGACCACATAAGTACATATTATCAGGTTAGCATTACGTTATGAATACATGTATATATTATATATATTAATCAGTAATCACTATTAAAAAGTAACACAAGAAAATGGCTACAATGTGTTGAACCACAAAAGTATACATTGAGTATATCTTGCGTACGTATAATATTTATTAATTGCCATTAAAAATTAACACAAATAAGAGATGAATCCTAAAAAGCTATAGCAAATATTTAAGTGAGACCTTGTAAAAGACAATACAATCTGACTGTTGACTAGTAATTAGTATATAAAAAGTACTCGGAAAGTAACCTAAACACACTATTTCTGTGTGACGACTAGTTAACAGTGTCCATGCTCAAAGTATTTGTTTTGAGTTGTTACACTACTTTAAGTGCTTTAAAATCTCAAATACTGACCACACGTCAATAAAAATATCATAATAGTTAATTAAAAAACTTTGATTCAATCTTTGTTAACCGTGCACCACAACTGGATTACAGCACTCGAGTTGATCAATTGATCACCCGTATCGATAATTATTTTTATATGTCCGACGCCCGTGCTATCGTTATATCGGACCCAATAAATATAATACTTTTATATATTATTAAATTTATTTGATTTTTAATATTTTATAGTTTTATTTCTTAAAATACATTTTTTCTCATAATATTAATATATTATACTAAATTAATTGGTGGTTTTGAAATTTAAGTGAGGGCAACATTAATACGTGCCTATCTACCGCGGGTTGTACAGCCCCGATTTATACCGTTTGGACGATTAAAATTATTTTTGCCTACGTGATCAATACCCAAGAACTTAGATGTACACGTGATTTGATTTTATTAATTTTTGACTATAAATTACTAAATCACAATAATACCACACAAATAACGTTTTAAAAGTTAATAGTTCCATTACTAATGTTATTATATGTATATTATGCATGATTTTACTTACATATACATATTTTTTTTTCCAAAAATACACTAGTGCATTACTATACAGTATACTATAAACTAATTTCCCTATGAAACTGTTCTACGTATTCGCCCAAACAGACACATTTTGGATCAATCCATTCAATAACGATAAATACGCCCAAAAATGTCGAAACGTTTCGAAAACACGCTCTGGCGTATACGTGCCCAACACAAGTGCAGGTAAAAGCGCGTCCAATCGT